ATATATATATATATATATATATATTTTTTTTTTTGAAGTTGTTATGAATTGACCATTTAGTTGTAGATGATATATGGTCTTCGTGTCGTTCGGTTGTAAAAGATCAACTTTAATTCTACAAGTATTATAACCGAGAACAGATGGTTTGAAGTGTCATGGCACTGCGGAATTCCTTCTCTTGTTGCTGTATTTTTCCTCGTTCGCTTAAATTCTTAGAGATATTTCTTGCCTAATTCCTCAACTGTTTTTTTATTCTAAAAAAGAAAAAAGAAAAAACAACGAAGGAAAATTAACCTTTGCAAAGATGTTCCATATTTTTATTAATTGTATTTGTTCATTCTACTGTACTCGTCTAACAAATGACGGTTATCGTTGATTTGTTGAATAACGATCATGTTTGATCTTTTCACTTATAGCACTGTCATCTTTTGTTTTTTTTTTCAAATTTTAATGCAGATTTAACTTTAAGAATCTGAAAAATAAAAAAAAAATCTTTTATAATAAAAGTTCTGATGGTCTGTGGTGAAGAATAAAGGTGTTTTACCGCAATCATTCTTTCCGTTTTTCATCTTCTCTTTTTATATTTGTTGTCGCAATTACTTTGAATTTGTAAACGACAAATTATTTATTAATCGCATATAATTTTTACTTAAAAAATTACCCTTCTTTCAGATATTAAAAATGTAAAAAAAAATTTATTCTGTCGTAGAATTCATTAGCAATTTTCTCACGTTATTTGCTCTTTTAAAATTTGATAATAAAGGAGCAGACGATAAAGAAAAGCAATTTTATAACTATAAACTGATTGCAATAAAAAAAAAATTAAATAAATAAATAAATAAATAAAAAGGAAAAAAAAGGGAAAAGGTAAAAAGAAAACGATGTGTTAAAGAAGGCACCAAAAATGATAATTTAGTTTTCAAGGTTAATTCAATTTTTTTTTTGGTTTTGTTTTGTTTTGAGAAGCCAAAAAATTTTTTACTGCTTTAATAGTTGGAAATCTCTAATATAAAAAAAAATTTTAGAGATTCTTATCTTTTGTTCCTAATCGTGTATGAAAAAAAAAACTACTTAATTTTAACTCTGTTTGACTTTTCTTTTTCCATTTTTTTATATACTGTAATAGTCTACCGTTTTGTTAAAATATGTATGCAACGTATACATTTGCCGTATCTGACTGGGTGCAACAGTTTGTTGATGATGACGATGATCATTGATCGCCTAAGTATTTAGCCTTAGACACTGGTTGATACCATGTCACGAACTCTGATACCACAGTGTATTGGAATATTATTTCAAAACTGTTCTTCACGCCGAAAAACAGGGCATCAGATTTTTGAAAGTTTCAAAACGGTATCATTTAACAATTTAGTATTATTTTTCAGTTTGTTAAACATATAAGAAAAAAAAAAGTTAATACAAAAATTTTTTGCAGGAAAATCGGCAGTGTTTTTGGAACACCGAATTATCAGAAGCAGTAAAACATCTAGTCTATATTGGCTTTATTAGGCCTGGAACACTATTTGTGTCATCACCAGAGTCGGATAGCTTAGATGTTATCCGGTATGCGTGGACAAATCGTGTTCTGAAACCAGCGAAAGGATACGTTATTCTCACAATTGGTCAGTTATCAGTTATTTTTTTTAATTTTATCCTGTTAACTATAATGCCCTCTTCAGTAGTCAACGATTTTTTTTGATTTCTGTTATCTAAAGTTCCTCCAGCAGTTTGAAATATTCTTTACAAAGTAAAAGTGTTTTTTTTTCTGAAAATGACAAACATTTTGGTTGTATTTAAACTGTGAAGGGAAAAGGGAATTTTTTTGAATGAAAAATATTTAAGGGATGAAATGTATCTGTGTTTGACAGAGATTTGCGTGTGTGTATGTTTGTATTTAGAGAGTTTAGAAAACCATTGATGGAAGAAATCTGCAAAGATATTTGCGCTAATTGAGTGATTGAGAAAATAGTTTTTATGAGTGGGGACACCTGTTCACATGAAATATGAGACACAGTATACAAATGACAATATATATGTATATATATTAAACGTCGAATCACAGATGCCTAAATTCTCGCCTTCTGTGCCTGTAATAAAAAGCTTTTAGTCACTTGAGCCCAGAAAAAGCACTCAAACACATGCGTCACAGGTGTCTTGGCCAAGAAGGCAAGAAAAAAAAACACGAAACTTGTTGATTAGTTGTCGATCAAAATCCGGCGAAAAAAAAAAAAGGAAATTACTTTTTATGCTAAATATTTATTGCTAAAATCTGACCAAATTTTATTGCTGTTAATTGTTAACAGTTGTTTGCAATAACAGTAAAAAATGTGACAGTACTGTGAAACCTCTGACTTACGAAAAAAGATGTCATTTCTAAAATCTGTTTATTTAAGCAATCTATGGTCATCTGAGTACGAACTGCTTGCACATCACCTTACTGTATTTCTTAGAATTAATTTGAAAATCAAAACGAAGCAAAAGATTTAAAAAGCTCACTTTAGGAAACCCATTTTATTTTTTCTGTTTCCCAACTACTTGACCGTGATTTCTGAAAGTTAACTTTATTTGCCCACTGCCGATTCACTACTTTCACTTTTCCCATTATAGTATGTAATTGTATTCATCGTAAAGATGCAAGCTGGCAAAGTAGTCAAATTTAAGGTTTAATTCCATATACAATTTGCTTTGGCTGTCTGTTTGAGTAAGCGGCTATAAAATAATTATAAAACAGTGTTTTACCAATGTGGTTTATGAGACAGGCAATGATTTAAGAAGCTAGCCTGATGGTAATGAGAAATCTCCCCTATAAACCCTGCGCTTGTTCCAGATCATGCTGCATGAAATCTACTAAATTTCCGGACAAAATCTTAATGCGAAAAAATTTTCAGAATCTTCGCAGACCGTCTGTTTTTGCCAACCTTATAGCAAATGCTTTGCAATTGAGAATTTTGTTGAGAATGCCAAGAATAATTTTTTCTCAGTTATCAACCAGCAGTGAACTACTGAAACGTTTTCAAGTCTTAAAGAGAAGAAGAACGACAGAATAAACCCTATTTAAAAGCTTAAAAATTTTACCACATCATTACATTGATCATAATTTACGGTCAAATAGATTGTTGCTTGTTTTTTCTTGGCTATTCATTTTTTGTTTTGGGCTTATCTTTTCTGTCTTTTTATTCTTGCCGATTTTCTCATCATCTACAAACAACTGTGATACGTATATGTGTATTTAGATTGGGTGGAAAAAAAAGAAGAGAACGATATGAGGAGAGGACGATCATAAAAACTGTTTATAAATTATCAATGTTCTTCTGCTTTTTTTTTCTTGCCTACATCACAACTTGCTTATTTTGTCTGCATCTTTCTTTTCAAAACAAAATTTGTGACAACTTTCCAATAATGAAAAGAATTTCTTATTTTTTTCTTGCAGGCGATGTACCACAAATACAGTTACGTGAAATTGAGCAAGTAACACATCAACCAGTTGCTGATATGATCTGTGGTGCTGTTGCAAAGTTGAACAAAAGTGGTTATCCAGCAACATTGGAAACTCTTTGTATGGAACTGTCAAAGCATCATTCCGATTTACCACCACCATCTCCAGACACTGTTCAGAAGAACTTAGATGCGCTGTTGAACGCTGAATTTATTTATCGTCTCGGGGAAAATTTATTCCTTTCAAAAGCTCCGACAGTACCATATATTTTTGCCAAAAAAGCAAACGTCAAATGTAACGCTGAATGCCAAACAGGCAAAAGTATCATATATTCACCAGAAAGTCAACAACAACGACAAGAATTTGTGTCCAAACATCGACGAGGTAATTATTTCTTTCAAAAAAGAAAAAGAGCAGAAAAATGGCCACCTTTTCCCAAAACCCTCGTGTTGTTCTTGAGCATAAAAAAATTAATAATAATCTTTACAGATTTATTTTTGTTTTATTTTTCTACATTTTAGGTCTTATTGCAAGACTTTTTGCTCGACGAAACTCACCAGCAAAAGTTGCACCAAAAAAGAAAGAAGCCATCACTGTATCAGCAAAGCTACCAACATCAGGTTGGGTATACGAAGCAGTGCCCGGCGATAGTAAAGCGAAGAGCTTGGAAGAGCGGCGGGACGACATTCAAAGGTCTGTGGCTTTTACAACGATTGTTATTTGGTGTTGGAATTTTGCTAATCTTGTTGCCGCTATACGCTTTTCGGTCAGATAAAAAAAAACAATTTTTGCCGATTTTTGCAGTCTCAAATCACTTTTCCAATTTACCGTTTTTTTCTCACAATCTTTTTCCTTCGTATTTTTTTTTCTTGTACAGATTATTTTCAGAATGAATTTTTTAGATTGAATTGTTATGCGGACAGTGCTCGGCAACCAGAATTTGACCGGAAAAGGTTACGGATGAAACATCGACGTGGCGAAACATTGCTGCCATTAAGCCCAGAATGTTTGGACTATGGACCGGTTGATCCACCGGAATGTTTACCATATTTAGGAGCACCAGAAAGTTTAGTAGAAATGGAGGAACGACCAGTAAATAAGGCAAAAGTACGCCGGCGGATTAACTGTAAAGATGTTGCACGGACGTCAACACCAGTTCCAGAAGGTTCCGATTCGGCGTATTCATTGTCACCAGTGATCACAGAAATGTCATCGGAATCCCGTGAACCGTCATGTAGTCCGTCGTTAAGCGGTGTACGCGAAGATGATACTCAAGTGGAGCATACCTATGTGAATATGTACAGCAACGAAAGTACTCAGTTTGAGGAGATAACACAAATTGAAAGGCTTGTTCCTTCTTTACAAGTTTCTAATATTTAACTGTCAGAAAACAATTAGTCAATTATTGTTGTGTTCATTGTTTTTAAGATACATATATAGTTAGGCGTTAAGCAGAGAAACTGCAAAAAGTCTTATTGGTGATGCTTTTTTGAATTGATACTGCAATCGTCATCCTGTTTTGTAAAAGCACTTTTCTTTGTGTAGTAATACCCCTATTAGCAATTTGTGATCGTTTCTTTTCTTCCCG